GATAGATAGATAGATAGATAGATAGATAGATAGATAGATAGATAGATTATTGATCCCCAAGGGGAAACACTATGCAGGGAGGCAGAATCAAAGCACAAAAAAATCACCAAAAACATCACACAACACCTGAAACATGGCTTTAGACTCAGAATCTGGTCTTTTCTGGTAATACAGAAGAGTCCAATCAGACGTCAATTACAGATTTACATTAAAAATGTCACATCCGGGTTAACGAGCGTAAAGGAAAACAGTCAGATCTGTGCAGGCCAGTATACAACTTTAATGCTTAATCATCGTCATTCATCCTAACCGGTGCAGAATATAACATATTTACATGTAGCTTAAAGAGTTAGAGCCACTTACCAGTGTCATTTGCTTTTTTAGGGGGCATTTTCCGGACAGGGCTAAAATATCCCGCCTTAGCGAGAATGCCTTACTCAAAGTTAAGGTTAGTTTACGTTAGCTAGGCGACTTTTGTTCCCCGAAAATGACGCGGATCTAGCTGTAAAACAGCATCCGGTGATGCTTACAGACAGCTGCCGACGAACAGCAGTGACTTTATTGTTTATAAACCTCCATAAAAAAATATAAACAGCTTTCTGTCAAAACTCCCCGGTTCTCATCCTCCCGCCTTCACTGCGTTGTCAGCAATCCGTTCAATTCATAGCCCCAAATGTCCCGAGTGGGCGGTGCTTTGAGCGGCCGCATTAGTTAGAGCGTTTAACCCCGCCCCCACGGGCGCAGGCATTTTTCAAACAAACGCACACACCGTTGGTTTCCGGGATATGACGTAAGACGTCGCTGCCAAGCGACGCCGTGGTCCGGTGAGTTTTAAAATAAACAAAAAGTAAAGTTTAAAAAACGTTACTCGCCTGATTGATACATGTTGAACAAATAAATAATTGAATAACACAAAACCTTTAAATAAACCGTAAATCTAAAATAAACAAAGCAGAAAATATTAACAGAAAAACCACCATTAGACCTTAAAATGACTTTCTATACATTAAAAAAATTCTGAGAAACCATATATGTTACTATAGTAACATCTATTTACATTTCAAGATAAGCTATTACAAAGTAGGGTTTGGTCTGATTACTTTCAAATGTTGCCAGCAGTTAAATACAAATCCCATAGTTGTTCTTATACTTGTTATTACACAGAATTAATGCCTATAAAGACATTCAGAGCAGTATTAAACACTTATTACCCAGCCTGACATAACTATTTTAAAAATGACCCACTATAGACGTACAAGGTGGTCACATTTCTTAGTAGAAAAACAATGTGCTGGGTCGTTGTTTATTGTGTTACTTGTTTGTTTAGTCAGACGTTATCAGCAGAAACCTCTGGTTATCTGCTGTAGATGTAATCATCCTGCTCGTCTCTGAGTCAAACACACACTGATGAACTTTGCTCCGTTCCGCTCCCTATCTGCTGTATCACCAGGCTCAGGACAAAGTCGGACAAAGACGCTTTTGGCCTCTCGCTGCTTGAAAACAGCCCACAAAAACAAGGCAGTGAGGACAGAGAAGGAAGAAGCTGAGATCATGGATACGACGTCGTCCTTTTTAAAGTAAGTGAGGAATTTGTTATTAATGAATGTCATTTAATCTAATTAAAAAGACAAACACCCAATTATATTAATGGTGAATGATTTTACACCTAGTTTGAGTTGTTTTTTAATATATATTTGACTGGTGGAAACACAAATAATACAAGTGAAAAGAAAACCGATTGAATGAGACCAGTATTTAAAAAAAAAAGACTTGTTTAACCCTTTAAAGCCTGATTCAAGAATAAAACAAAACAGAAAATTACTTTTTTTTTGGTTTGAATTCCTTATTTGGCCTTTTAACTAAATATGTTAAAAGAAAAAACAGAAATATATTTTTAATATTAATAATTTATTACTATGCGATAAGTCAGGATTATTTTTTGTGTAGTCTTCTGCCCCCTGTTATCAGGTGTATCTGATTGTGTACAATATGAATTTGAGCAAAGTTTTTACCATTTAATTATGCAAAAGGAGTCAGACGCAAAACATTTCAGAAACTGTGTGTATCAAATATGATTAATTTGGCATTATAGTGTTAAGCCAATTAAAAAGAAAATTTAGAATTGAGAGCAGTTAGCCATTCTTAATGTTATAAGTGGCACCATTGCTGTTTAATTTTGCTAAATTGATCATGCTAAGAGTCCCAGATTATAGAGAGGAGCGTCCATTACGGGTTTTATCACCTTCCCGTCCGATTCATCAGATCTGTGACCAAGCGGGTCTGGTCCCCCCCCCAGCGGCCCTTCAGAGTGTGCGACGACACCAGGGAGACCAAGAAGGGAATCACAGCCGGGACCCTGGAGGAGCTGAAGCAGAGGGTGAGACCGCTGTTTACATCACACTAAAACATGGGACGAAAAGAAACAGGGAAAGCTAACTTTGAAAGCTAATTTAAACTGGACGACTGGGCTGAAAAGCTGGAGTTCCACACAGACGTCAGTTATTTAAAGGATGGGTATTTAACCCTTTAAAGCTTGATCCAAGAATAAAACAAAACAGAAAATTACTTATTTTTGGTTTTAAGTCTTTATATGGCTTTTTAACAAAATATGTCAAAATAAAAAACAAAAATAAAATGTTATTATTAATAATTTACTATTATGCAATAAGTCAAGATTATTTTTTGTGTAGTCTTCTGCCCCCTGTTATCAGGTATATCTGATTGTGTACAATAGCATTTTGAGCAAAGTTTTTACCATTAAATTATGCAAGAGGTGTCAGACGCAAAACATTTCAGAAACCGTATTTATCATATATGATACATTTGGCATTATAGGGTTAAAGGGGACATATTATGCAAAACCAAGTTTTTAATCATTTGATTATGTAAATTTGGGACTGTGGAGGGCTTATCAGCAGGCAAAGTGTGAAAAAAAATGACCCAGTCATGTTTTTGTGGGCCGCCTCAGTCTGAATCCAGGAGATAAATCAGGAGGTTTCAGGAGTGGGTAGTTTCTGACGTCATTAGCTCTAGCTCATTATAATATTCCAGCCTTTCACCTGCATGTTGCCCCCCCCCTCAGCTTACTCCCCTATCTGTAACCGGATTAGCATGCTACTTATGTTCACTCAACTAACAGAAATCTAGATTTTTATAAGCAGTAAAATACACAAACAGCGTATTTAGTCAGCGTCCGTATTTACATGACGTACAAACATACACATTTTTAAGAAAAAATTCAAATAAAGCTCATAACTCACCATTCAGAAACGTCTTATTGCAGTCTACATTGAACAACTTCTTGTCTAGCTCCTTCTTGTTCAGGGTCTGACTCTGGTTCCAACATATAAGGTTGGACCGAAAAGGTTCCTCCAGTTGCCATGTTTCTCCCAGAGTTCACGTTCAGCTGTTGTCATGCCGACGTGGGCACACCTCCCGGAAGAAGTGGGTGGATTGCCTGTGTCTCGTTTGCATTTAAAGAGACAGGCACTCCAAAGCGAGCGCTCTGAACGGGGCTGTTTTGGCAGGGGGACTGAACTGCTATTGGGCTTCATCCTTATGGGATTTTGACCAAAGCTTGTCAGGGACATTACATTAGGACACCAGGGAACTAGCTTAACTTGTTGAAATAGGGTATAATATGTCTCCTTGGGCTGTGTGTGCAGGTGTGCCAGGCCCTGCTGCTCTCCCTGTCTGCGGTGTCTCTGGTGTGTGAGGAGGACGGCACAGAGGTGGACTCCGACGACTTCCTCATGACTTTACCCGACAACACCATGCTGATGGCCCTGGAACCCGGCCAGATGTGGAAACCCCTGCCTGTGCGTACATACCCCCCCCGGACAGCCCCCTCTGGGTCTCTGTAAACCCTAACGGGTGTTGTTTTGTGCTCCCCTCCAGGGGACGGTGGTCATCAAAAACCACGACAAGCCCCGCACCGGGAAAGACATAGCGCGGGTGACCTTTGACCTGTACAGATTGAGCCCCATGGATGTGTTCGGCTCCCTGAGTGTGAAGGCCACGTTTCAGGGCCTGTATTCTGTGAGTGCCGACTTCCAGTGTCTGGGGCCCAAGAAAATCCTCAGGTAGGCCCGACAAAAGCTCTCCAGAGAGCAGCCGCACGCTGATATTTGTCTTTAGTAGGGTTGTCAAAAGTATTGATACTCAAAAAAGTATTTATACTAAAACGTATCCGAATACGATACTCAATTATACTCAATTATATTAAATTATACTCAATTATACCCCTTCCTCTGCGCCCCTTCTCTCTGATTTATTTATTTACGTTGTTTATGATCATTAACCTGATGTTAGCCTTGAATTGCTAGCTGCGGCTAATGGCTAATAACAACACACCTACATTAATGTGGGCCACTGGCCAACATAACATCAATAACAGGTCAGTTTGAAACCAAAGACACTAACTGTCAAAATTCAGTTACATTTTGGGGTCTTCTTCTTTCTTTCTTTGTTTTTATCCTTGTGGTATCAAAAATGGTATTGAATATTTTCCTGAGTATCGGTATCGAGTTGAACATTTTAGTATCCTGACAACCCTAGTCTTTAGAGGAGATTGATTGAATGTGACTGGGATTCAGGCCGCTAACCCTTTGGTTCTGTTGGGTTCTGTTGGGTTCTGTTTGTCAGAGAGACGCTCCGCCTGGCCTCCACCCTCCTGCAGGCCGCCGGGCACCTGCTGATCAGCTCCGCCTCCGTCCTCCGCCGCATTATCGAGGGGGCCGAGCTGTGGCAGCCTCAGAGGGCGGAGTACACCACCAGCTGGCACTGAGGGACCGTTTTAGGAGTGGATTAAACACCAGCCTCTCATCACGCATCATCCTCCCGCCATTAGGCTTCTCCTCTGGGAGCAACAGAACCTGAAAAAATCAGTGATTTAAGCTCTTTTGTGACAGAAACGTCAGCTTATGTAAAGTCTTTCAAAATTACGATTATGAATGTTTTAAACTAAATACAGATGCACCTGTATTTTGCTGATAGAAAAAAGCCAAGTATCACATTTGTGTAGATTTTCTGCTTTTGTGCCATACAGATTGAGAATGTCAGAGAACTGTTCTATATTTTTGTTAATTTGCGATAAATGTAGTTTGTTTGTTTTTTTTAGAGGAAACGGTCAAATGATTTGATTGTTTCAACGGATGTTGAACAAAAGTGCTTTATTTGAACATAATAAAGAGGGATAACACTGACTGAAACATCCGTGAACGCAGACAAACATGATGAGCGGTCGGGAAAAACCTGGCCGGCGGAGAAAACTCGGGAGAGCTCGGTCTGACCTTTTTTTTTTTCGAACGTCCCGTCTCCTTTTGCCTCAGTTGCCGTGGCGACCCTCGCCGCCGGGCTCCGTCTTGGCCCGGCCCGGCCGCTGCTTGGCCAGGCGGTTGAGGTACTGCTGGTACTTGACGTTGGCCACGGCCGCCCGGTGCTGCTCGGCGGTCATCCAGCGGGGCTTCATCTTCTTCACGTAGTAGCGCATGTCGCTGAACCACTGCAGCAGCGCGTGGCGGGGGACGCCGACCGCCTCCACCAGCCGGCCGTAGAGCTCGCCGTCCGGGTACTGGCAGCGGACGAAGGCCGCCCGCATCATGGCCAGCTGGGCCTGCGTCTTCGGGCTGCCGGGGGCGCTGACCGGGAGGCTGCTGCTGACCTCCGCGGGATCTTCGAATTTGTTCACTGGCCCGAGCAGGGAATTGTGGTTCGCCAAGTCCAGGAGCAGGTCCCCCATCAGCCGGGCCTCCTCCTGCGTTTTCCCCCGCAGGCCGCCGCTCAGCGGGGTCGGGGGGGCGTCCGAGGTGCTGGAGGGGAGGGCAGCGGGGTCCTCAGGGGTTCGGGTCAGAGGTGGAGAAAAGAGCAGAGAGTCGCATCCAACACCAGATCCCTCTCGGCTCTTTTGGACCACGGGTTTCCTCACGCCCCTCTTAGTCCCGGTGTTGAGAGCTGCCTCTGACCCTTTCCTTTTCCCCTTGTTGTCCTCTTTTCCGGCCACAACTTCCACCTTTGCTGCCCTCTCGTTATTACTCTGCTTCACCTTCTTGGTTTTGTTTTTCTCCGCGTTTCGACTCTGACTTCCCTTCCTCCCGCCGGGCTCCCCGCCCTTTTCCCTCTCCTTCCTTTTCCGTCCCTTGCCCCCCACCGCGACTCCCACTGACCTGCTCCGCGGCTCCCCGATTTCCTCGTCCCCTCCCCGGCCGGGGCAGAACTGGCTCCACACCTCGCAGATGTCGCCGTGGTCCCAGCTGATGCCGTAGCGGAGCCTCTGGGCCATGAACCACACCCGCACCTGGTCCGGGTGCAGGGAGCAGCGCCGCGCCAGGGCCGCCGTCTGTCTGGCCGACAGGTACGGGAACCGGTCGAAGGCCTTGTCCAGCTCGGCCGCCTCGTTCAGCCGGAGGTCGATCTGGTCCGAGCGCACCCATACGAGCTTCTTGCTCTCCGAGATCAGGGGCAGGCAGACGGGGGTGTTCAGGCTCAGGCTTTCGCTCACGGGGGCAGGCGCGGTGTCCGAGACAGGTGTTTGTTTGAGCCCTGGGGTCTCTCCCTCAGCACAGTGCCTCATTTCTGTCCCCAGAGGAAACGGCTTCTGGAAATAGCACACAAACACGACAATAATCTCATAGTTTTAGCTTGCCAGCATCCTTAAATTGAAGTAATGTCTTGCTGTGCTCATATAAAGGCAGACAGGCTTCTCTGCTTTTGTGTTTGTGGTGCTGTCAGTAAAGTAAAGGTACCAAATATGACTAATGTACTCCAGCTACAGCTCGACTGAATTGAGTGTTTTCTATGAGAAATGGAAAGCTGCTAACAACATTTAGCACATGTATTTTACTGTTTAATGGAAAGTGAAACTATGACTGAAAAAGTCCCCAGATATAAATAGAAGTTCATTAAATAAGGGTAAAATCCTGTCCCATTGCTGTGCAAATCTGGAAAATGACAAACACTATGCATTCTTAAGCCTTTACATCTTTACAAATTATCAAACAAACTAGTGTCAGTTAATTCTCAAATAGAATTAATTCGAAATCTAGCTTGTTAACACTTCGAGATTAAGTCTTACCTTCCAAAAAAATATACATAAGCCAGTCGTAACTACGGTATATATTTTTTATGATAGCTTTTTAAGAACATGGATTACCTTCTGATTGATCTGCGGTCAATGCGCAGCCGCTTGACTGTTAGCATTAGCATTTACAACCGTCAACGTCCGACCGTTAGTCCGTGAGGCTAGCAGCTAGCCGCTAGCTCAACAGTCAACACTTTTGGTTAGCTTGGATGAAAACAAAGACATTTGACAAATTGTCAAGAGTATCTACATATTTTTGACAATTTATTTTTTCCTAAGAATTGACAATTAGGCAACAAGTTAATTTTTTTTGTTTTGGGTTGGAATTTATACCTTTAAATAGGACAAAAAGTGCAACGATTTTTCCCTTCATCGATCGTGATGGACACGTATCAAACAATGATATTACATAAAATAAAGAATAATAATTATATTTATAGTATATGAGAGTATTAAACACACAGCAATCAGCCATACCCACATGACGGAGCTAATCCTGTTTAAATTGGGACATCTATATCCTGTTTATCTGATTATATGGTTTAAGTCATAAGTACAGGCTTTTTTTTTATCTCTTTCTATTAAAATTGATCCAGTTCAGTTTGGGATAAGTCTGGATGTCAAGCTGCATAAGAAATACAAATAGAAGAAAAAATAGCATCCATTTATCCATAACATTCACCTGGATAATGTGTAATAGTGTGGGTTTGTGAATTTGGCATAATTTGCTGGAACATAAATGTTTTGGTCCACAGTTGTTGTAAAAACCGATAAGATCAAGGCTTCACTTTATTCATCCCCAAAGGGAAATTCTGTATTTAGGACAACAGTAACACTTAATGGTGCTTTCACCCACACTTTGCGGCATTTCTCCAGAGTTCAGCCGTCAGATCCTTTGAGTTTTTGGAAAACTACTTCCTGTAAACAAAAGAAAGGCAGAGGGCAGAATCTGTGACACAGGAGGAAAAAAGAAAGTAATTTAGGCCTGTTGTAACAGGCATGATAATTATTGAAAGGAAGCCCAAATAAACTCAGTGTAAGCAACAACCAACCAACCCAAAAAAAGACTCAAACTGCAGTTTATAGCCTTTAAATGCTAAAAAAAAACACCCAGATTTTTAGTAGAGACCTAAATGTGTTATGACATGTTTGAATTTTCACCCCCCCCAAAAAAGAATGTAAATGTAGTAATAAAAATATACGCTAACATGGTAATCATCTTTTCTAATTAGCTGCTGAATGATTTTGTTCTAGTTACTTTTCAATGAATAATTTCTTAACTTTCACAGGAACTGCAGAGATAGTTTTGTCAGAACGTTTTGATAAGTTACTTTCGCAGTACAGAGGACTCGCAGACTGTTGTAAAGTTCCTACTCATTAATAAGTCTCTGGCTGGAAGGCCAACAGGTCACAAACTGGCAAACAGGGACACTTTTGCACCGGGTGGGGCTTGTTTGCTCTGTGAGCCTGACTCCACCTACTGATCTGTGAAAATATTCAGGAAATAAAACCTTCCGCGCTGCTTCCTGTTGCACGAGACGGAGGGTGATATTACGCAAAGAGTTTGGTAGTTCGGGTTCCCCTGTTCGTACTTCAGCAACTCTGACCTTTGACCTTTGGGGAAACATGTCCGACGGCGTCCCGAAGGGTCAAACGATCCTCTGCGACATGTGCGCCGACGAGGACCGGAAGCCGGCGCGCAAGACCTGCATGAAATGCGAGATCTCCATGTGCGGCCAGCACCTCCAGGCCCACCTGACCACCCCGGTGCTGCTGCAGACCCACCCTCTGACCGAGCCCGTGGCCATAGACGGCAGCACCAAGTGCCCCGTGCACGGGAAGCTCCTGGAGTACTACTGCCTGGACGACCGGACCTGCGTGTGCGTGTCCTGCGCCATCGAGGACCAGCACCGCCTGCACAACATGAAGACCTTCCCCACGGCCCACAAGGAGCTCCTGGAGAACATCGGGGCCCAGCAGAAGGCCTTGCAGGACAAGTCCGAGGACGAGAACGTGAGCCTGGAGAAGTGGGACCGCGGCGAGAGGGAGAAGGTGGGGCGCGGCGGGGCTCGGCTCGTGGAGGCCGTGACCCACCTGCGGGACGTGTCCCTGACCAGCGTCCAGAGCTCCGTGGCGGCCCGCATGGCGTCCATCAGGACCAGCAGGAGCAGCATGGAGGCGGCCCAGAAGGAGAAGGACACCTTCCGGTTCCTGCAGCTGTACTCCCAGGTGGGGCTGTCACGATGCTAAAACGTTCAACTCGATACCGATACTCAGGAAAATACTCGATACTCGATACCATTTTCGATACCACAAGGATAAAAACAAAGACCCCAAAATTTAACTGAATTGTGTCTTTCATTTCAAACTGACCTGTTACTGATGTTACGGTGGCCCTCATTAATGACCCTAACCCTAACCCTAACCCTGACCCTAACCCTAACCCTAACCCTAACCCTCCAGCCTTCATAATAGTGATAAATAAATATTTTTTGGTTAAACTTGTTTGGACTTATTGCACAAACCTATTTAACATCCACTATTTTAACATAATATTATGGATAGAGTTTAATTCAGTGTTTGCAAGATTCATTTAACTATTTTTAATTAATTAATGTCTATATTGCCATGAAGCAATTTGGATTTTCTTGCCTGGGATCTTCCTATTGGTGACCTAATCAAAATGGCCGACTTGGATGTGGGCGGAGTTGGATATGTACTTGATTAAGGGTAGCATGTTATTATTAGCCATTAGCCACAGCTAGCAGTTCAAGGCTAACGTCTTGTTAATGATCATAAACAACGTAAATAAACACACAAATAAATCCGGATACAACATTTTAGTATCGATGCTTTTTCAAGTATCGATACTTTTGACAACCCTACTCCCAGGTGCACCGGGACATGGAGGCGGCCAAAGCCGTAGACCTGAGAAGGGGGCTGGAGCCGGGGGCGGACCGGGACAAACTGGCCCTGGAGATCCAGCAGAAGGGGCAGAAGATGCTGGGCCAGGCGTCCCAGTTCTTGGGGTCCCTGCTGACCCTGGTGGACCCCGAGAACCACCTGGAAATGCCCACCAACCCCGGGCCAGACCTGGTCTTCGAACCGCAGACCTCTGCCTCCAGCGTGTCCCTGTCCACCGACCGGAGGAAGGTTTTCCACAACGGCTGGCTGGGAGCGTGCTCTGCAACCCTCCTGATCACAGGGCCGGCTCCCAACCTCCAGAGGTGGACGGTCGGCCTCCCCACGGAGTCCGACTGGATGGTGGGCCTGTGCCAAAAGCAGTCCGCAAACACCCTGATGCAGGGCCCCGTCTACGGCCTGCTGTGGGAGGAGGGCCGCCTGGGTCGGGTCACAACAGAGGAAGAGGAGGAGAAAAGTGCTGGTTTCTCGTTCGGTTCTTCAGCCAACCCACCAGGGAAAAAATTAAAGGTCTCTTCCGAATCTTTCCCAAATGAGGGCGATGATGGAGGTGCAGGCAGACCTGAAACGGTGGAGGTGCTTTGGAAATTTCCAGAGTCCAAACTCACCTTCTACAGCAGAACCGGACGGTTCCAGAGGAAAGAAATAACCACAATTCAGATGAGCTGCAACAGCTGGGACCTGGTCCCGTTCGTCCGGCTGGGGAAGGAAAATGTCCAAAAAAGCAACCCGAACCATCTGTGCTCATGTGGGCGAAATACTTCCGGTTTTCAGGCAAATTGCTCTCGTTGTGGAAAAGTTTTTCCCCCATTCACCACAGACCTGATCTGTGAGCTTCACTGATTGCCGTCTAATACCTGGGTAAAAAAAAAATTACTGATTGATGCTATGATGTTTGCCAGTTAATGCATTTTGACTAATGATTAAGGATAATCTTGGGATGTGACAGTTTAGACAGATTGTACACTTAAATCCAGTCAATATCTACAGCTGAGTGTCTCTTCTTTATCATTTTAATGTTGCTTTAATGCGTGCGATTGCAATCTGATTGTGTTTGTCTCCATCTGTTGGTCATAAGACGTCTGATTTATGCCACTGAACAGTGCCTCATGTTAAATACAGCCGGCAACAAAGAAATGAATGCTTTTTTTTATCTGTAATAAATCTAATCAGCAATAAATCCATTAAAAAGTTAAGATGTGGAATGTTTTTATTGAATTCAAGAAAATGAAAACAGCATTTTTTGTGCATTTTGGCAACATAGAGATATTTTTTTTTAAAAACCTTCTTCAAACAGAAAACATCATTCAAACATGTGATTTCTGGTCCTGATGATAAAAAAAAAAAATACCCAAAGCTAATTTAAAGGAATGACCACTCGGCCTTAAAGGCTCAAATGGATTGTGGCTTAATTTGAATGAGTACGTCAGGACTTATGGAGCCCCACAAACTTTGGGATTTAAAAGAAAAGCTAACTCAGTCTCTAATATTTAAAGGCATTAAAGTGCACATCTGGGGCGAAGAAAACGGGAGCTTCTCCTAAAAAACACATAGATTTTCTCTTTTGCTACAGCAGTGCCGGTTATACATATTTAACTTTTTATAAATAATTTAAGACTTTTTTTGCTCTAATTTCACCGTCTGGGGACAAGAGGCAGCGGCCTGCCGTTTAGAACCGTAAGAATAAATACTAACGAGGGCCGAGCACTGGAATGGAGGTGGGGGGGGGTCGGGAATGCTGAGTGGAGGCCGAAAGCGACTGGGAACGGGTTAAAAAGCTCGGGAAGGGGTTAAAAAAGCTCAGCTGTCGTTGCCAAATACGGTGTTGAGCTGCTGGGTGACCCGGATGAAAGTGGTCCGGCGGCTCAGCTCCTTCAGCTTGCCGGCGCCCACGTAGGTGCAGGTGGAGCGGACCCCCCCCAGGATGTCCCGGATGGTATCTCCCACCGGGCCCTTGTAGGCCACCTCCACCGTCTTCCCCTCCGACGCCCTGCCGGGACCAGAGATGTACGGTAACCAAGTAGAACTACTTAAGTACTGTACTTAAGTACCAAAATGC